AATGCCACTCTCCCCGCTGTCGCTAAATTGCCTATTGTGCCTATTTAATACTATTAGGTTCCAATTGCTTGTACAGTTTTGAGTGTGTATAATTTTAATGCGTTCCACATTAAAACGACCACTTTTTCGGAAACATACTTATATCCCGTTTTCTTCGTTTTCTTTACATAATTTAAAACAAGTTGTTACTTTTTATTGCAAAATGTAATGAATTAAATGACACAAGTAAATGATAAACAAATAATAAACTTTTTTCAATTTATAAGTTATAATAAATCTTAATGTAATTTATTTTGTGAAGCATTTTTGTATATCATAAGTGTTCCTTCGCATTTTATTCGGCGTTGTTGTGTAAATGAATTAGTTGTTACCGATTTCCCAGGCTAGAACTCGAAAAGGATTGTTAGTACTTAATGAGGGAATACAATCATTCCTGTGAATAGGTTTCTATAACTTTTGAAAACATGACGTTTATGCAGTAATGGAATGTGTAAATTAGGTAGGTTAACAATAGCAAACTCTAGAAATGAAACTGGGCTGAGATAATATGCCAAGAGTAGATAAATAAATATTTGCTGTTATTAGTAACCATAAAAATACAATTTACGAAATAGTAGATACTACTATCTTTGCGCATAGAAAGGTAAATTAAAAGCAAAGCAAGGTGAATAGAACACAATATCTATACATTTCACGTTGAGTTATCGTTGTGCATCGGGTGGTGTGCCCGAATCCCCTTCCCGCGTCTATTTCCCTGCGAGGCTGTTGTTCAATACTAACATACCTGCTCTACATGACTAGGCTTATCGTATCATGTTCAATTACTCTTAACGCAAACCTTTCTGTGTCTCCTCCCGACACACCGCCACTGCTCCCATCCCGCCCGCCACGCGTCCACCTGCGGCGCGGGCGAGGTCGCGTGCAGCGCTCAGGAATCCGAGCGGCGGCCCGGGCAGCGCCCGCCGGGGGCTTATCTGGCGGCGGGGCGCGGCGGGGCCAGGCGGGGCGGGGTGGGCGTATCTGCCCCCATCTCTCTCCGCCTCTCAGCGCGGGCGACAGAGGGCGATCGAAGCTAATTGCGAGCTCTCCCCTTTAAGCGCGACCCGTCGCGTGTGGTTGACCGCGGGGGCGCGGCGCGGCGCGGCGCGTTGCGGAGGGGAGCAGAGGCGGCCGCGCCGGCGATCGAGCAGTCGCCGCCGCCCTCGCGCGTGCTTTTAATTGCTTTGATTTGGATAGGCGATCGCCACCGCGTCCCCGGTTCGGGCCCTGCCGCCCGGCGCGGGCACTGGCAGACGGTGGGCTCGTTCGACGAGGGAGGCTAGTGCTCTGGGGTGAAGCTATGCCTTAGCCATTAAAAAAAAAATCATTTAGCACCTCTTCCTGAAGAGTAATTGAATTAATCAGACGACGAATTTTCTTCCAGGAGAAAAATACTTTTCTTTTAACGTACTTTACTTTCAATTATATTTTAATATCCCCCAAAATACTATTTGGCGTTTTTACTTTTCATCGTATATCAAGAACCTCTGGAATGTTTCTTTCTTTATACAAGTCCTTTCAAGAATATCCTTTCCGAGAAACACTAACATTCTTCATTTATTTTAGTATGAAACTATCCTTATCTAGAGAAAATCTGCCGCTAAAGGGGATTAAAATCCCGAAGAAATGTAGGTTTCGACGACGATTGTGCAAGCTGGTGCCATTTGGCATGAAATATTCAATATGATGTAAGGAATTAAAATAAGATTAATAATCAAACTGCACCTACAAAATGTACTGTAAGTCGTTTCAGTGAGTCATACAAATCAAATGAAACTGTTTGGATAGCGTTACTACTGATTGCGACTCATTTCTCTTCTCATTTCTTTGCAAGTGGATTTCCGTGAAAAGAAATTCCGAGGCGGTTCGCAGTTTCCCCGCGCGCTTTGCAAAGTGTTTTTCCAAGCGCAGTCGTCACCTCGCTCGCCGCTATGCTATTCGCCGACGAGGCACGAGGTAACGCTTTCGCCTTCTGACCAGAGCACCATACTCCTACTGTGTTCTTCAGGCCGTATGTCTTCATGTTACGGCGACGAGCGCTCTTCCGAGCCGCCAAAAAGAATTTGATCCCTTTTTTGCCCTGTGGCGACGGTATCACGTTGCTACCGCTTCGTGCTGGCCGAAGTCCGTACTCTGAGCATATACGTTGCTGAGACGGATTACGAAGCTAGTGTCTTGCAGCAGCAATGCATCCAATGTAATCTGGGCATCTAGTGCTTGTAAAGCTATAACGTGTCAGATTCGGTTAATGTTTTCAAATATTTCTCTGAATAAATTGAGCCAAATATTCCGAAATGCATTTGAACGCCTTAAAACCTCAATAAGATGTAAATGTAAAAAGTTTAAAAAATATTAATTTCAGCATAATCTGAGCGGCGCAAAGGTAGGGGCTATGCTAATGAACTTGTGCGAACGCTGTGACATTAACACTAGGATTCGCGTAGTGTGGAATCTTTTTGAAAATAGAAATATGCATTAATCTTAGATATGCCGTTTTATATACATTATATTAATTCCCAAACAATGTAAAAATTGGCCTAACTCTAAATATTTTATTTTTGCTACACCATTTATGCATAGTATTAGTATTTAAAAGCTTATGGAAACTGTCTCCGCAAACGGTTTCTTGCAATGGAAGAAGGAAGTCATGTTATAATTTGGCAGGTTATACCTGTACAGCGCAAATCATTTTGCTTAGTAATTTAATACTTTTTGATTTGATACTACGATTTTATTGCTTCCAAAATTTTAATGCAAGAGTATAACAATGCGAATTTTCATTACCAGCTGGAGAACTTGAATACAGTGTGTGATTTTGAGATTAAAAAAACAATCGTATTACATTACAAATTTTAATGCTTTTTTTTCATTTCGCATATCATATTTTTTAACTTATGATGTATTTTTTCCTAAATATGATAGCGCTTTTTTTGAAAGAATAAGTATGCGAGTGTATAACATCAGAATTTTCATGTGAAGAAACTTGCATTAAACGCGTCGACCTGAACATGTATATCTGTTAAGAAAGTGAATACTAATATAAAGAAATGACCGGTCTTGTGATATTAAATCAATTGAATTGTATGTTCAAATAAATTCGATGAGTAGCAAAACATTTTAAGTACAGATTCTAAAATAGAAGAGATGTGAAGAATCATTGGAAAGAGCAGCAATTTTTTTTTATTTACTGGCAAGTTTTCCTTTTGCAACGACAGTTTTTTTAAACTATTTTAGAAGTCTATGATATTAATCGCAAAATTCATTTGTAAATTAGAAATAAAGTTGTGCTGTAAGACTGAGGGGTAAGCTCAATGATACAGACACATGTATTCGATTGAATTCAAATTTCAAAGTTAATGGTTGCCTTATGTATTCTGTTTTTGGAAAGAATTAAAAATGTTGGCAAATTTTATGACTATATAATTGAAACAAATTTTTGTATGCGGTGTTGCGCCATTAAGGCAACGTCTGGTTATCGAAGGGGAGTCTGCGGCTCGGAGGTCGCCGACCGCCCAAGCTTCGTGCCGTCTGCAATATTCGGCAATCATATCTCACCATGGTCCAGGGGTCCTTTAAGCGGGCAACACATATAATTAAGTAACTTGCTCTTAAACGTCTCTTGTTCTGGATTTTACTACCCATGCTATTATATTGCGTTGCTATTATCTCCACACAATGGGTTGACTGCAGGCACGACTATTATTACATTAATCGGAATAATTATGGAGAGAAATAGCCCTCTTTCGGTCGATGCCTTAATACTACGTTGAACACGTTAATTTAAATATATTGCTGAGATAAGTTGAACATAAGTAGTATTGGCCAAATTTAAAAATTGGTGGAGAGCAATCCAAAAGTGCTGAAGTAGAGCAATTTTGTTCATTTGCGAATATTAGTCTTACGTCATTTATAAATTTGAAAAGAATTTGCTTTGAAAAATTAATTTCAAGTAAAAAATAATTCAGTACGAGTTTATGCTTATTTTAGTCCGTAGTCAGAGAGTTCACCGTCTCGTAGCGCATTGTAGTCTCCGCGCATTGTAGTTTCCACGGTTAGTGTTTTAAAGTAGACTAATAATATCAGGAATAGCTTAAGAACACAGAGTACAGCGAGAGAAGAAAATGTCAAGGCTAGACACGGGCCCCCAGCTGCGGCGGCAGCACGGGTCAAGGGTTTTCGAGTTTCCGAGTTAGAGTTGCGTTACTAATCACTGGTGTAACGAGCGTGTCTTTACGTTCTTCGTCAGTTCCCCGTACATCGCCCGGATCTTTCCATTGTGCCTGGAATAGCGGGTATGAATTTGGTCAAATTTTATTTTCTGGTGATATTTACCACAATCTAACATTATGTAGAAATATGGGGAAGTTTGGGAATTGAAAGTGCAAATTTACCATGCCACTATTTTTATATTACATTCGATTTTGTGTAAAAATATTTACTCTGAATTTCTCTACAACACAACCATTATCTTGAGAAAATATAACACGATTCTTTTGCACGTCCTTTCTCGAGTCGTATTTGCGAAAACTGTGGAGAGAATAGGCGATATTTGAATTTTCATGTCATAGACGAAGATCGTGAAGCAACACTCGTCACTCCGCGAAAACAGTGCACTCGACTCAGTCCTCGCTCGGCGCCAACGCACCCACTCGAATCCTGTCGGGCGCGCGATGCCCTGACATGTGCCGGTCGACGCACTTGCGGCGCCGCGTAACACCACCTCCGGCACAACGACCGCGTGCGAACCGCCTCGGCCTCGGCCTCGACATAGCCTCGGCTGCTGCGCGAGCGCGTGCGCGGGCGTGGGCGCTGTGGGTCTCCGGTGACGCACAGCTGGCGCGTCGTCGATCACTTCCGCGTGCGAGGCACGACGCCCGGCCCGCGCGCCGGCCACGGCCACGGCGGCGGCGGCGGCGGTGACCGCGGCAGCCGGCCGCCGGCCTTGGGCAAGAGCAACGTACCTGTTGGTCCTTGGAGCGGCGCGCCGGTGCCGCCGCTGCTGCTGCCTCCGTTGCTGCTCCGCGGGGGCTGTAGGCGGCCAGCTGAGCTGCGCGCGGTGCGTTGACTGAGAGCTCGCGAGCGAAGGACTCTCGGAGGGGCTGTCGGCTCGCTTCAGGGAGCGTGCTGGCTGGCTTCGTCGCTCCGCGCCGCGCCGTGCCGTGCCGTTCCGTGCCGACGTCCGACTGACGGGCTGGTTGGCTGCCTGGCTGGCTGCCTGCCTGCCTTCCGCCTCGCGGGTTCGCTACACGACCGTCGGCCTCCTCTCCGCGCCCTTGGCCTTGCGTCTCTTCCTTGCACCGGCTGCGGAGCGACTGCGGCGCGACTGCGGCTGGTTGTGGCGGTGGTGGTCTGGGTCGCGGCCGCTCACCGTCACAAGCAACACACTAATGCTGCAAGCTCAGCCCCGCCGCCCACTTTTCCTAGCGCAGGGGTCCCCGCACCCGCGAGGTGGAGGGGAAGGTAGGCGCACCAGAAGGTTGTCCCGCGGCGAGCAACGGCGCTCTCTGGTTGGCTGCCCGGCCGCGGCCTCACCACCTCATAATATACCGGTATCTGTTATTGTTGTGGGGGACCCCCTCTTTGGGAGGGTGTTGTTCCTTTTTCTGCGCCTTCCCCGTCCGGGAAGAACCAATGAAACGCCAAGGAGAGTGCACTCGGAGAAGTTCCGAATAAGCTGCTTACGTGCCGGCGCGGAGGTGGGAGTAAGATCCCGCTATTTTTCCACAAGCCTCCTCGCCCGCCGTCTCGGATGCAGCGGTCACGTGACGGAGCCGAACCAACCGCGGGCGCGTCCGGCGTGGCGGGGAGTTCGGGCCCGGCACGTCTTCGTTTTTGCGCGTTCGTCAGCCGTCTCCGCTGCCTCTTCCTCCTCTTCCCCCTCCTCCTCCCCCTCCTCGGTCGTCGCGTTCTCCTGCACCTTCGTCCTCCGTGTGCGCCGTCACGCACGCGGACGCGGGCGCGGGCGCGGGCACGGGCACGCACGCTCTCGGACGCGAGCGCGTAGCGACGCGTTTAATTATTGATGACGCGTCGCCACGCGGAACACGGCCTGTCCCGGCGTCGCACCCTGCCTCCGCGCTGCTGACGAGCCTGTAATCGCTCGCGCTGTATGGGTTGATTGGGTGCTCCCGAGATAAAAATAGCCGTTCCCCGCCACGCTCTCGCGTTCCAGTAATCCCGGCTCATTGATTTATGGTAATTGTTTCGGTAAATCGATTTTATGCTTAGATGGCGATCGGCTAATCACGCACTGTTAATTCTGTGTAGAAACGTAGTGACGATTTTTCATTGCGATTAATCAGAGTAACGAGTTTTCGTGCTCGCTGCCTTTCTTTTGGCCCCCCTTGCAACGCGCGCTTTTGTATCGGGAGCTCCCGCGGTTGTCTGAAACAAGATCAGAGCACTTATAACGGGCTTCCCATATTTCTTAATTAAATATATGGCCACGGACAGGAACTCCGCACTTCCTGCTCCTGTTTGAGTCCGACATATTGTGCTCTGCGTCCGCTAAGTGATCTGAGCGATTTATTGCGCCCACCCCTATTGCGAATTAGATAGTGGTCGTACGTCAGCTCCTGACTGTATACTTTCGCGAACTTTCCAGCAACTGGACGTTGTTGTATTAAAGTAGAAGTGTAATAATGTTGTCAGATGGTCGACTGATCTCGAGCAGGTTTGAAATGAAACCACTTCTTCCCCTTCGAAAGAACTCACTTGGATCGAGAGAACACGCTAGATACTAGTGAAATATTTTCCAGGCCGTTCTATCCATTGGTTTTAACGATTGCCATAGACGTTACGAGAACACTATAAAGCTTGCTAGTATAAAAACCTTTTACAATTGGATATCTCAATTATATCGCAACTGTAAAAAGAATATGTAAAAGGAAGAAAATGACATGATTGTAGATAGTTTTAACATCATCTGTTTAAAAAAATTATAAAATACTTTCTGAGAAAGGTTTTTGTATTTAAATTCTTTTTAATGTATGTATGTAAAACATGTCACGGTAGTGTACTCGCAATAATTTAAAAAGTTGTTCATGCAAATATAATACATGCAATACAAGAAAAAAATCTGCATTCACAATTATGAAATGTAGCAATTGTGAGTGATGCATTTTATTGTTTTTATGTAATGTGAAAAAATCTAATATGTAACGCCCCTTGTGAAATACGATATCTAATATTCTTCTCCATTGAAGGATATTCTGTAGAACCTCCTTTTATATGAAGTTGGATTAATCAGGGATCCTATATTTGGGTTCTGTTTCAGAATGGAAATTATTAAATTTAGGAATTGAAAAAGTTAAGAAACAGTACTCCAGTCTGCAATCTTGGAATTTCTTTAATTTAAACAATTGACTTGAGAATGAATTTTGAATTGATTACGGGAAATAATAGATATTAAAACGAAACACTCAATAAAAGACATACACACAAATAAAGACATACACACAAATAAAGACATACACACAAATAAAGACATACACACAAATAAAGACAGACACACAAATAAAGACATACATTACAAATAAAATTGTAATATTAATATTCAATGAATGTGAACTTTTTAACCGTGAATTGAACATAATGACATTGTAATTTGTAATGTATGCCTTTTTTACACATTTGTTTATTCTACTTTTTATTTAACACATTTGATTTTTTTTTAATTCCAGGGGGATGCGTTTTTTGTAAATCTCCCGTGTAATGGAGATTCTGCTTCAGTTGGACTGACTCCGTATCTTTTAATCCATCGTGGAGCGTCCTCTCGCTGTGAATCCTCTACGTATCGATCGGGAGTTTCAGACGGTCCTTCCGAACTATTCTCCTTCATCCCATTAAGTAACCTGTTCTATGCCCTTCGTAGGTGTTCGAAGAAAGCACGGAACTCTGTCTTTCGATAGCGCCGTGATAAGGAATGCCGGCGGGCCGGCGAAGGCGTCTGCGTCTGCGGTGGCGGACCCGGCGGCTCCGCCAGGGTCGCTGACCCTTCGCCCGCCCGCCCGCGCCGCCTCCTTCACGCTCTCCCCGACCTGGTCTCCTTGACCGAGCACGCCATCCTCCCTCTGCGCTGACTCACAACCCCGCTTTCCCATTCACCCTTCCCAGCAACCTAACCTTTTCTACCTGAAGTTCACCCTCCTGCAGATTTTTTTCCCCAACTTTTTTTTGTTTGGTCGCGAACCACCCTCTAGCTTTCCACTTGGCTTTCACGCCTGAAGGTCCATTTTCCCCCGGTCCGTGGAATGTGGCGCGAAGGGTGGGACCCGCCAACTTTTAGCACACAGCGCGAACCTGCGTTCTGCGACCTGCATTTTTAAAGAACTCGTGAAATATCCTTTAGTAATCCTTTAGCTTAATATTTTAATCTGAATTTCGTCGCCCAACAGCATCACTTTTATTTTATTTATGCAATTTTTTTTTCTCTCGCTCTCTTCTCATTCCTATATTTATTGCGGTATATCGAAGGTTCAATTTTCGATACGTTCAGAATTTTTCCATTAAAATACATTATTCAATGAAAATGGAGCAGCTTGTGTGTGTGTGTGTGTGTGTGTTGGCTTAAATCAACGCCGCCCTCTGAGCTTCCTGTGTGCGTTGTCGGCGTGTCGGGCGGGAGTCGGGCGTGCGCCGGTGGCGCGGCGCGCGGCGGCCTCTCCAAGTTGGAGCGCGGCGTGGGCGCCCTGCTGGTGCGGTGCGCGCGGCGCGGCGCTTGCGCGGGGGCGGCCGCGCCGTCAAAGGATGAAAAGGGGGAGGGACCGCGCTGCAGGTGTGGACGCGCTGAGCAGAGGCCTGCGTGTCCTTGCTGATGCACAGACAAATGAACTAGCGATTTGAAGAAGTTCAGAAACAAATCAGCTAACTTTAATCAAAACTCGTGATATAATTTCTTTAGCTTGTAATATTTTTTTCATAATTTACCCTGATTTATTTCTGAACTGTTGCTGTTATTATTCTAATAGATTATTAATAATATTATTTTTATATAAGTATTAATAAAAGAGTATCAAAAAATAGTATTATTTCTAATAATTTTAATCAGGAACGTAGCTATTTTATCGTTTCAATTCAAGCTTTTTCAAACATAGATCTTGAAACGATTCTAACGAAACTTTACGTTATTAATATTATACTATGAATTTTTAAATGACATTATTAAGCAAACATTTGATGCTATCTGGCTGCCAGATTGTAAGAATACCACAACTATCGTATCTGTTTGCATTACTCACGGATTTTCCAGTCTGATAGTTGAGATCTTGATTATTTCCTACAAGAAGTCTTCTTGAAATAATTTTCCCCTCCCTGATTTTCAAATCAATAGACAAAAAAGTTTATCAAAAAGAGAATCACATCTGTCCAAAAGCTTGTAACGTAAGACGGAAGATGCTTGTTGAAGAGAACGGTCTACTACATATCATACCCCAACCATTAACTGAAGTTTAAGACAGGGTTTCTCACATGTGAGTAATATAAGACCAAAAAAAGGTGACTAGGGAGTATCTCCATAATACCGCCACAATTTTGTTCATAGAAACGTCGTTTGTCCGGTATTTCATTCGTTTTATTGATTATTTTTGAGGCTTGTTACGTTTGGTGAAAACAAGTCTTTTCCTGCCTCTCCGGTCACTTCTTGCGATAATGCGATCATACTTAGGCAGAATTATCTGAAAATACGTTTTCAAATTCAAAAGAGTATCACCCGGGAACTTTTTATACTGAAAAGTGTGGGTTTGCTTACTTGGGCAGGACCCTTTCCGTTAAGACTTTCGGACTGATTTACCGATCGCAATAAATTAATTGAAGCTATCCTATTCAAACGCCGGTGCTAATCTAAGCCATCTTATCCCCTATCCAAAAGCCAGTGAACGATAGTTTACGAGTATTTTGAGTGTGCGAGTGTAAATTCTCCGCGCTCCAGATCTTGGACCTGGAGAGAGGCATAATGAAATGTCTTTGAACAACAAATGCGTTTCATTGCTAACTCTAGCAAAACCCGCATTTTTAAACAAGCTTAAGGATGAGAAAAGGACGAGGAGAAGAAAGATCGAAATACTTGATATTGTCAAATTCTGGAGGAAAGAAAGTGTGGATAAATGAAGAAGCAGAAGCAAAAATATTTACTTTTGCAGATCTACAAAGAAGTAGCCTCGACGAAAGGCAAAAAGGATGAACGGGCGTGCAGTGGCTGTTTCAGCCATTCCGGTCGGACAGTTTTGTTTCTGAACTGAGCTGAGGCTCGCGGTGATGGGTTTGACCTTCCGAAGGGCAAGCGAGAGGTGCGTGGGCGGCGGGTTCCCTCTCGATGTGCCGCAGCTGCCCTTGCTCCGCCGCGCCGCGCCGCGCGGCCTGGCCGCTTCCGGTGCCCCGAGACGGTCGCTCGCACGGCTCTGCTCTGCTCTGCTCGCTTTCCATCGCGGGGGTCGCCGTTTCCTCCCATCTCCCTGTGCTGATTCGCTCTATGCCCTTCCGGTGCGTAATGGACCGGAACTCGTTCTCAGGTGCGTTGTCCTTGCTCCACTTAAACGCACCACGCGTTTCTCCTCCGGGGTCGCTGCATAACTTGGTGTCCAAGCGCAGACGAAACTTTTCGCGCGTAATTTGGTTTGGAGAACAATCGTCTAATTCGTTTCGCTGTCTAGATATTATGAAGCGTTATCCATTCGTTGTCTTCAGTGTTTCGTGTCGAAATACGTCAATTTTTAATTCCCTTTTTTCTGCTTTATGTTTCGTTATCCAGATTGTTATCACTAATTATACTTAAATTTTATTTTTTTGTTTTTTTCTTTCTTCAATTTTCCTTTGTTTTCACTGTATCTTTCTGTATTCCTCACTTCGGTCATTTTCCCCATTGCTCTTCTTCCCCTTTCTTTATTTTTTCCTCACGTTATCTGCTATCTGCTTTCTTTTTTTCTCTACTCCAACCCGTTGTTTCTTTCTGTTACTCTTTATATTGTTATTACCATTGTATGTAATCTTCATCGTTAACATTTTATTACTACTATATATTTTTACAATGGTTTTTCTTGATATTCTCCAAGTTATGTATTTATCAACGTTCATCTATTTATCGTAGTATGATACTATTCTTGATCTGGGCTGTCCGGGTGACGCGGAAGCCTACGACATCATGATACTATTCTTGTTGCCGTTTTCATTGTATGTTTATTTTCTCGCGCACAAAACGTATTGTAATGCTGCAGCAAAAACGGTAATTTTTTTGACAGGAAAAACTGGATAAATCTTGTTCCTATATGTGATACATTACTTCCTCTGTGACACAATATGTATTAAGAATCAGGATTCGTAGGCGATTAGTACCGAAAAATTGCCAGACAGCAAAACACATGTTTGCCTGTCTGCCTGTCTATCTGTCTGTCTGTATGTGTGCAACTCAAACGCCTTAACCATTCCATTTTGAGCAAAATTAAGTTCCCCCATCGATCTGGCCGAACTCGAGGTACTGCAAATTTAAAAACATTTTGATTTTTCATTTTTCAAAATTTTATCAAAATTTGTTCAAATGTTTTAAATTAAATGTTTACCTTGGTCAAAATAAAAGACAATTAAAATGGCACAGATTTCATTTTCGTTTAAGTCTCAATTTTCGAAAATCGCCAAAGCCAAACTTGTTTTTCGACGTGTTCCTGCAATTATGATATTGAAGATGAAGATTGTTCTTAATTAAATCAATGCTTTAAAGTAAACATTTAAATAAGATCATTTACATTTTTTCCAAAAATGGATAATCCCCGAGTATTTTTTATTAAATACAGGCAAAAAAACTGGCTCAAACATTTTTTAAATATCATTTTTCTCGAACAGAGTTAAGTACCGTTATAAAAGTAGTAGAAGACCCATTTTCTGAAAATTTTCGAAAATACAAAATATTAACATGGCTACACCATATTCAAGCTTCATCATTAACATCTTATTACTACAATATTGAAGTTGGAGATATTTTATTTCATGAAATTTGTTCTTCAAACTTAGGTTTTAAAATAAGGTAGTGTATACATTTTTGAAAATTTAATTAGTTTCGCGTAATTTCTGCAAAATGTCAAAATTGAAAATTCGAATTTCTCGCGCTTACTTTGCTTCTCTTTGGCTAGAAATCAGAATAAAGCATTCAGCAATCCGGGTCATGGCAGTTTGAAAATCTTAGAATTACTTCTGGACGTTGGGGGATTATTCTGACTGCATGTAACACAGCTTTTGGAGTGTCGAATTAGCGTTGATGTTTTTGCTTTAAAATAGTTTTTTTACCTTAGATAATTTATGAGTCTTAAAGGTGGCGGCTGAGATTTGTTAACACGGACATAAATTGAGGTATTGAAATATTGTACGTATCCGGTACAAAAACGAGAAAGTACGTGCACCACGTGGGTAAAGTAGCACCGCTAGTTGCCGACATTGAATCCACAGCCATCGCGCGCGTTCGAACCGCTGCGTGCTTTGGAGCGGGGGCTGCGCGCGGCCGGCGGCGGCAGGTGGCTCGCGTTGTGTATTCGCGGTGAGTGGGCAGATGCTGCATCGCGTCTTCCGCCGGTCGATTACCTCTTTGCCGAACCTTGAAACGGAGCGTGTGGTGTCGGCCGTCTCACCGGTGTTATGTGCTGCTATGGTCTGCTTGGCCGTTTATGTAATATGTACACCTTTAAATAATGAAGAAAGCGAAAAAGCTTTTCTTCTAATTCTAAGATTCTACAAATACTTAATATCATAGTAGAAGATATTACAATGACGTGGCTCCTTCCCATATTCGTTTCTGTATGTAATCGCAAAAAACACACTTTAATTGGGATATGAATTTGAGTAATTATTGATGCCAGGCACATCAGTAGTTCCGAAAATGTAGTGCATGTGATATCCAAGGAAGTGGCGATGTTCCTCCGTCAGCCGGAACGCGAAATCCGGTGCCGAACTAAAAGTCGACATGCGGGGAGCTTCTCACCTCGTATATCCCGCAACTGAGCACCGCCCCAGCCGGAACAAGCTGCAGTCTCCCAACGTACGGAGCATGTAGTATGTAGCATTTCCGTGTGTGGGTGTGTAAGGGAAGAGGAGGAAGGAAGCATCGCGTGCATTCCCTGGG